GGCTCGGTAGCTGGGCGTTTCGCGTGGGGGCGCCGTGGAAGGGGCTGGAAAGGGGCCTTGCCTGGAAGGGCTGCAGCCTCTGTTGGGTGTCGCTTGCAGGATGAAGACCATCCTCAGCAACCAGACTGTTGACATCCCTGAGCAAGGTACGTCTGCCTGTGTGTTCGGAAGGCCTGTTGTGCTGCTGGCTTCCCAGCCCCTTAACCGCTTTTCGTCTTTCATTTCTAGTCAATGTTTCACTGAAGGGCCGAACAGTCATTGTAAAGGGCCCCAGAGGAACCCTGCGAAGGGATTTTAACCACATTAATGTGGAGCTGTCCCTCTTGGGAAAGAAACGCAAGAAGGTGAGTGCTGTAGAGTTTGTTTTCTCTGCTCAGAGAGGAAGGGTATTCTCAGAACTATTAAAAAAAATACTGGCAGCATGAACGCTTGAAGCAAATTCTGCTGCTGCAGGAAAATTAGGTTTTTTTATTCATTTATTTGCATTTTGAAAGAGGCTGGCTTCATGGAATGTGGGAGCCTGCTCAGGTTTAGTGAGGTCAGGCACCGTGAAGGTTTTTAAATAATCTACGGTATATGGGGACAGTTGGTTGATTTAGGTTTTTTTCTAGTTCGTTAGTTGGCAGTGTGTTGCTTATCGTATATCTTATAAACTGTCTGATGATAAACAGATGAAGTTGATTCTGTTGATTTAATTTCAGGAATTGGGAAGTTATGTTGGGAGAGCAGAAACTTTCTAAATGAATGGATGGCATTTGCATGCAGCCTTAAAGACTCGAAAGGAGGGGTGGGGGAGGTGGCTGAGTTCAGCCACTTCTTGACAAGCAAGTTTAAGTATGGTATGGTGCAGAAACTGGTTCTTATCCTGTGTTTCATTAAAAAGTTGATAGACCATATCCAGGAGACTAACTTTGGAACAGTGTGTTCAGTGTTTAACATACCTGGCAGTGTATCCTTGAGCTTAAGGATGTCAGAACTTTTTTACACTTAATATCCAAAACAGCTTCTTTGAAGACTTGTTAGTAGTTGGATGTGAAGAAAAACTGTTTCTCATATGTCTGGGGAGATAGGAATTGAAAAATTTAAGTGGACCTTTAACAGCCTTTCAAAGAAATAAAAGGGCTTTGTGCTTTTGTTAGAGTAGCTACGAATAAATTACATGAATTTCTTGGTCTTAGTTTACCACAAAAACTTTTAACATTTTAATTTTGAAATGGGGCTGAAAGCTTTATTTTTTTTTTTTATAGCTGCGGGTTGACAAATGGTGGGGTAACAGAAAGGAGCTGGCAACAGTTCGCACAATTTGCAGCCATGTGCAGAACATGATAAAAGGTGTTACACTGGTAAGTTTAAAGTACTTACTTTTGTTGTTTAGTTACTGGCAATAACAGACAACCTCTTATTTAAGCAGGAGATTTTCTAAGGTATGCAAGATGTTATGCATATAACTTGCTTGTAGCTTCCCCCCAGCTTGCTGTTGAACATGCTTTTGCAGGTGGAAGAAAGCATGAACTATCAACTCTGGATGTCACTTGGGCTCAGTGTTCTAGTATTGTCAAGTTGTAGTTCTTATGAAAACAGTTTTAAGTACGCTTAGATCTATCCAGTAAGTTTGTTGTTTGTTTGTTTTTTTGCTTTTTGGAGCTATTCTAATTACGGTATCTAATAATTTGCTTAATCCTAGGGCTTTCGTTACAAGATGAGATCAGTGTATGCTCATTTCCCCATCAATGTAGTTATACAGGATAATGGCTCACTTGTGGAAATCCGAAATTTCTTGGGAGAGAAGTACATTCGCCGAGTGCGCATGAGACCGGGTCAGTGTATCTGATGAGACAGTACTCTGCTATTTCTAAAAAAAAAAAAGTTTTCCAGGCTAGTTTGTTTGGGTACTACTACTGATAGAACCAGATGGTAAATGACTGTTCAGGCAGCATTTACCTGTCGCTTTGAATTTGCATAATCATGATGGTACATGTACCACTGTTTAGATTTGCAGTAAATACTTCATAATTTATTTTTAGTAGTAAGAAAGCTCAGTGCTAGGTCTTGTACTATCAATTACAAGGAGCGTAGGACTGACTTTCATCGTTGTTGGGTCTTGGGAGTGTTTGTTGGTGAACTGAAAAAATTTGAGATTTGTGTTTTTGTTAGAAACACTGCACATAGACTAGGTAGGTTCGCCCTACGTCACACTTTTGGTCGTTGAAATACTATTGTACTTTGAATTTCCCGATTGTCTAGGAGTGTGTATGATAAATTTCAAGATCTTTATTCTTACTCCTTTCTTTTATACCTTAAGTATTTGTTGGAGTATTAGCAAGATTTCTAAGAGACTTTGTTTTTACGTCTTATCCACTTGGGAGCATTAGCAAGATTTCTAAGAGACTGAGAATTTGGACCTTGTTAAGCTTCCAGGTAGAGAGGCAAAGCATGTCTTAAAAACAGTGCTATCGTAACACTGTGTAGGGAGAACTCTCCCCATTGTTTTTCTGTAATGATTCTGCTGCTGGTGAAGATATGGGTGAGCATATTTTGTGGAAAGATGGTGTTTTGGAGTGGCTTTAGATGAAAGCGTTGGACTTGTGCGAAGACATTGGTAGAGACAGTGCAGGTTTTTACAGGGTTTTGACTTTGATTTGTAGTGGAATATTAAGGGTGAGTCTTTTATTGTAAATGGCTGATTTACAAAAATCAATTACTTGAAACACATTTAGGTGTTAGCTTAAAATCTAGTGCGTGTTGACTTAATAGATAAAATTGCAAAAACCGATTTGTATTTCCTTACAAGTGAAAGTTTATATATGCAAATTCTTGAATATGCTATGAATATTCAGTGTTTGAGTGTAAACATAGTGCTTAACATGTCAGGGCAAGTTTTTCCACCCACTGTTGGTGGTGGGGGAGGGGGGAGAATCCAGTTTTGCCTTAACGAACATAAGAATGTGGAAAATGGCACCACCTAGCTGACAAAGCCATGCTGGCAAAATCTCTGGTTTACAGGTGATATTGGTAATTAATGCTGTAATGTAATAATGTTTACGTGGGAACATTGGTTGGTGTAAGTTATTGTCTGGATGGAAAGAAACTTGTCTTTGCATGCTGAAATTGTAGGAGAGGACAACCCTGGAAGGAGTTTTGGGAAACTGTTAACTAAATCGTAGAAGCTAAATATTGCTCAGAATAATACCATCTGGCTCCATAAATCAGGACAGGCCATGAATAGTATTTTCTTAGTACAACAACTTCAATGTCTTCACCAGTGATTGTGTTTTCCTTTCTGTGTAGGTGTTTCCTGCGCAGTATCTCAAGCCCAGAAAGATGAGCTGATCCTTGAAGGGAATGACATTGAATTAGTCTCCAATTCAGGTTGGTGAGCTGGATGCTTGGGAAGATTTAATGGTGTGGTCACTTCTATCTGAAGATGTCAGTTTAGCAAACTGTATCTTGGTCCTTTTTTTCCTCATCCTGAGGTAAATGACAAGTCAAACATATTTCTATTTTTCTTACTGCTTTTTGTCTAGCCAGTGTAATTGCTTTTCATAGTTTTCTTTTTTTAATGTAGAGATGTTTTTATAAGTCTACAGAACCTGTTTTCCAGTCAGTATTGAAAGCCTTTGTGCTATGACACTTTGCAGTTGTACAAGTATGCAGTAGTAGAGTGTTTGTACCCCATGCTACCATGATGAGTGCAGTGAAGTGTGTTCTAGTTTCATTAAAACTGACTGAATTTCAAGTTGGTAGTTCCATCCCCCAGATGACAGTTTCATTTATCATTTGCAGTGTTGAAGCAGATGCAGGCTAGAGGTAGTCCTGGGTCATCTGTGTACTAATGGTGTTGCTTTCTCTGTAGCTGCCTTGATCCAGCAGGCCACTACAGTCAAGAACAAGGATATCAGGAAATTCTTGGACGGAATCTATGTTTCTGAGAAAGGAACAGTGCAGCAGGCAGATGAGTAAAATAGGTTTGTATTATCTTATGCAGATTGGTATAACCTTGTTAAATTAATATGCTGCTTTTGCCAGGTCTGTTCAGTTCCTTCTCAAGATAAAAGGTGGCACCTTAGTCTGAAACTAAGTCTATGACTACAAGCAGTCTGGGAGCTGGGAACCATACGGGTGTGAGGCAATATGCTTGAGCAGCTGTCATGTAGGAAAGGTTGCTTGAGCTGGAGACTTACCAAGGTTTATCTGCTCTAACAAGGCTGTGGTTAAGCAGGTTGCCGACATGGATGCGGTTATGCTTGTAGAAGGCATCTTTATATGGTAAACCTTAATTTCTGCTAAAGCTCTTGATCAGCAGCTTTGCATTTCTTATCAGCTTAGTTTCATGCTACTTTAAGGAGAAACATCTGACTCTAGAAAGGAGGTATAGTCTGTGTTGCGACTGCTAGTTGAAACAATAGCAGAGAATTAAAAACCCGCTGACCTAAGCTGGTCTGAAAGACCATTTTCCACTTATTTGTCAAAAAGACTCTTAGGCGGATGTTCCTCCTCGCTGGGCGCTGACTCCATTTAAATAAATGGAACGCACTTGCATAGAAGTTTCTTTTGTGTGGTTTCTGTGTAGATGCTTGGAAAGTCCATTTAACAGTGACGCGACTGTTTAATACTATGTAGGACGCTTATAATTAAGGTTGAGTATAAGACTTTTTGGACAAGTTAAGAATTTTAACTGCTGGAAGAATGTGATGCATTTCAGCTATACATGGCTTCATAGGTGGTGCAGAATACTCATGAAGGATGAGACAGATTGGGCTGAATTGAAAATGAATGTGTGCCTTCTGAACTTCGACTTGAGACACAGGGTCCAGATAGCGAGTTTCATAAAAGTTTTTTGTCACCGGCCACGTACTAAGCACTTACAAGCTACTGGAAAAACATTTTTAGTGTTCACAGTCCTTTGAGGAAAGGCAGAAGGATTTTTTCCCCTCATTGTTAAGCAACCTGGAGCCATTGCAGACTTCAAGTCAACATTTGAATGAAGTTAGGAGTTCTTTGTGAGCTGTTAAGGATGTTTTCATGTCTGTTCAGAAGTGAGACTAATGAAATTGAGTATTTTTGTCTTGCATTAAAACCATCAGAAAAAGTAATCTGTCACATATCCATCAACTTTCAATTTCATATTTGCAGTGCAGAATCCTTTCTAAAATCTCTTCTTATTTACAGTTGTTAAGATCTTAAAACAAACCACCATGAAACAAACCAGCAGGAGACCACCGTATCAGCAAGTACTGGATTGGTGCATGTGATGTAAAAACTGAATAAGATGAGAAGTTTAATAAAATAAAACCTATTTCATATCCTGGTCTCTCTCTCTTCTTTTTTTAAAAGAACTAAGTAGTGATTGCTATGAATCTTTACAAGACTTATTTGTTTGGCTTTTGGAAAATCAGATTTTCACAGGGTAATAGAACATAATGTTAGTGCTGTGCACACATTTGTTAGTGTGTGTAGCCTTACCTGTGCAACTTTTTTTTTTTACTAGTCTGAGAACTTGTGGAAGATACTGAAGTAGTTTGAAAATTAAATCTGGGAGCAGTAGAACGAAATTTCCAATATTGCATTTAAATTGGATACAGAGATTTGAATAAGTCTGAAAATACAACACTTTATCAATATTACTGATTTGAAAAACCAAGAGTTCTGCCTCTGAATTCAGATAGAGCTTATTGCTGAGTTTCCGTAAGGGATTTGTGTCATCTGGGAATTACTAATGTGAGTTTTCTTGCTTGCTAATCTCAGCAATGAATTGTTGGGATTTTGTGCTGTTGCTTGTTCTATTGAAATTTGGAAAAAGATTCCCGTTAAAGAAAAGGTTAGAATGATGCAAAAACATTTGGCAGCAAGTTGTTGAAACTTGATATTGAAGAAAGAATCGACATGGACATAATAAATTCAGGATAGCCCCCAAAATAGTTATGTGATTGTGCTTTCATTTCACATGGGCATGCAGTACTAGGGTCTTGGAAGTTAGTGTCTAGTCACTAATTGTAATGTCTCAGATGCTCAAAATTGTTTTGGTTTTTCTTCTCCCTTTCCTATGCTTTTCTTTGCTAGATTCAGTGTCCATCGGCATTTGAGTTTTTCTCCTTACTAAGGTAACTTTATATGGTGCATTAGGGTGTTACTGTCTTGAAAGAATAGTCGTCTTGAAATTAAAATATTAAATGAGATTGAATTGAAAGAGGAGCTTTGACAAGGTAGAGAGACTGATTGGGTGAAAGATGTAGTAAAAGCCCCCAGCTCTGAAGAAGGTATTTGCTGGATTAAGATGTACAAAGTTTCTCTGGCATGTTTTCCTCTAAATTCAGGCAGTGATAGCACCACCATCAGCTTATTACAGCTATCTAAGCATTTGGGTGCTGGAAATAAAACTTTTTACATGCAGTGTTTGCTCAGTCAACAGAAGAGGCCAAGAAATGGTCAGCCCACATATGTGGCTGGGGGAAGAGGGCATTGGAGAATGGATGGGCTTTGTCATAGTTTTCTTATTCCGTAAATTAAGATCCTGTTTAAGTGCATCCCTCTGTCATTCCCCTTTCCATTTAATTCAGTAGACCACCCCCATCCTAAAGGGTGATTTTTTTGACTTCAAGTCACTACCAGTGATTTATGCTTATCTGTGCTCTGTTTTTTTCCACTTACACCTAACTTGCAAGTGTAACTTGGCTTGCATCTAACCCTTTAGATATCTGCTAAATAAATAAACTGTATCTAATGACTAGCACTTCTGTTCTGAATTGAGTTTATTAACACATACAGGCACATTTATGTGTTTAGTTTAATCCACTGTCTCTCAGTGTGTCTAGTTATGCCTTCCAATGATAAAAAAACTGTTAGGGTGCATATATAATTACTGTTTTAATTTGAATCAGGAATGTGCTTGTGTAGAGAATGTCCTTTTTGTTGCCAGTAAATGCACTTTGGTCCACACTGGGGAGCAGTGGAGCATGTGAACTGGATTTCTTTTGGATGATGCTAAACCAGCAGGTGTGCTGGAAGAGTTGACGTAATGTGCTCCAGCCACTGGTCTCGTGTCCATAGGGCCAGCCTAGAGCGTGTCAGAAACAAACCCTTCCAAAATACACAGGAGTTGGGTCTTCAATGCCAGCTGTTTCCCCCTGCAGGTGCTCTCACATTGCACTTGTTAACATTAGCATAACCTTAACATGACTTACCGAAATAAGCGGCTCTGGTATTGCATTGAAAAGGTATGTGGGACTGGGGAGAGGAGCTTGACACTGTCCGCATTGCCTCTGCAGCTGAAGTGCTGGGTTCAGGCTCCCTTCTGTCACAGACTTATGTTTGTGTACCTTGAATTGATGTGGATATTGATATATTATTATTTAAAAATTAACATTGTCATGCTGTTGAGCTTGAACTACTCAAGATATCTTTTTCTGTAGATGCAAAGAAATTGCTAATTGCCAAGTGTGAATGCTGAAACAGTGCACACTGGGTTATAACACTCACAAAAAAGGCAAAGAAAAAGCCAAATAAAGTGGAGAAAATGGATATATCTCAATTTTAGTACTGTGGAATAAAATTGTTAGTAGAAGATATTTTTGAGATAAAGTCTTTGCATATTTAATTTCTGAAACAAGGCATCTGCAGCTTGTTGCAGTGCAAAGAAAGGTGTTTTGGCAGAAGCCTGGGGAAATGCGACTTTCAGAGATCTGCGTAGAACGCTTAATGGAATAAATGCTTCTAAACAAACTCACGTAAGTGCTTTATCCCACCTTCTCAATGCTCACCCTGGCATTTTGCCAAAGCTAGGACGGTAATTATACTTTTTCATAGAAATAAATATAAACTTAGTATTATGTTCGTCATTCTCCTGGCTAGATTCATAGATACTATTTATTTTGATGTCTCATCTAATAAAAACGTTGACTGCCCCATTCTGGAGGGGAAAGCTAGTGACTCCATATTATTACAACTTGTCTCCTGTGGATCCAGTTACATTTGCTTAAAATAAGATGTTAAAATCTGATTTCTGCTTCATCCAATATCTAACAGATACAGTTATGTTAGTCAATAGCGGAGTTATTTGGATTTGTTCTTTCGGAAGTGTTTTCAGAATCTGGCTCAGCATATTTAATTCTTGGTGTTGCAGTCAGCTGAAGTTTGTGGTTTTTAATAACTCTTACATTTACAACTAGCAACAGCAGTTTCATACTCAACAACATTCATGACACGAATATATATCACAACAAGTTTTGGTTCAAAGAGGTTCATATAAAAGTGCGTATCAGTTCTCACAGCTTAGTATCTCTTTTCAAGTCAAACTGTTTAAAAGTTTATCCTGTGCCTTGGAATAATCTTTTAATTTTCTTCTTTCTTTTTTCATTTTAAATAAATGAATTCATCTTCTATGTACAGAAAGTAGATAAAACTACTGTCGTCACAGCTGATAAAACAGTACTGACATCACAGATGTCATCACAGCTCTTCTTCCTGCGCATACAATTATTTTCATTTTTCAACCAAAATGCTTGGTGTGTACAACTGGAGTGACTCGCATAGTGCTTTTCTGTAATTGTCTGATCCGTGTTGTCCTCCGTAGAATGCAGACAGTGGTGAATCTAGTTGAAAGTGGGTTTATGGTCCCATTTCAAAGTGAAACACGGATGCGTTGGGCACTTTTTGCCTTATAACGTTTTCTTCTTTTTCTTTTGTGAAAAACAATAATCGTTAAAAGCAAGATAAGAGTAGAGAAAAGACAGCAGGCAAAGAATATCAGTGGCTTCTTCTGAGAAATAAACAAACAGAAGCTACACGGTTTTTCCTTGTTTGATGGCTCACAGATTGAATATTCTGCAGGAAAGCCGTTACTACTTATCAGGTTATTGTAAAATTTTATTGAAGGCTTTCCTTTGGAATCAGAAGTGAAGAATCCGAATCTGGGCTTAGATTTTTCTTCAGTCAGTTTAAATGCGTAGTAACCTCTAATCTTCACTTTGTCAATATAGTATGCTGGGGAGGACAAGAAAAAAATATTAATAAAGTGTTGTATGAACTCAAACTTCCTGGAAGGGGGTTAAAGTTTCCAATTATTAATCTATAGATTTAAAAAACAAATGTTCACCTATACTTATTGTTCTAATAATCCTCAGTTCCCACTATTCTAATCAAGTAGAAACAGTGTATCTTTTAAAGGAAGAGTTAAAATTTGGGAATTTTCTATTTTACAAACACAACCTCTGCTGTGAAAGCTGTGTGTGGGTTGTTTTTTTTTTTTTTTTAATATACTTGCATTTATATGTGACACTTTGGAAAGCTTCAGTAAGTGCTTGCCAGCTTCCTTCTCACCTGCTTTGAGTCGGGTAGTGGCAGCATGCCTGTAGGTGAGAAGGAGGATGTTTCCCTGCATCTAGCACAGAGGCCGGGGAATGAAACAGAAGTAATCTTAAAATTCAAATGATACCATTCCTGCAAAGAGGAAGCAGGTGATGGAGGAGGAAGACCAAACTTCATCCCTCAGCTCTGCATTGTGTAATGGTATCTTGTCTGCGTGTAAATCTGGATGCTTCCAGCTTCTGCTGAGTTCAGAGCTGAGCGGGAGAGGAAAGCTGCTGGCTTTGCAAGTGGCAGTGGGGGTCCCAGCTCCTTCTGCAGTCAGAGCTAAGGAGCTAGAAGCTCTTCCAGCCTGTTTTCCTTTCATGCACTGCGTGTTTGAGTGGGTCCAAGCTGGGCCCAAGCAAGATGCTGCTTTCTTTCCTGAATCCATCTGCAGTGACTTAGAGGGAGCAGCTGCTTGCCTGTATCATAAGCTTTAAAATTCCTGCAGGAATTTCACATCCGGGTGCTCAGCTCCCAGCATACACGATGGTTATGTTGTAGTGCTGCACTTAACAGTGCTGGATGACAGTGTTCTAATGAAATCACAAACAGCGACTGTTGGTGAGTAAAAATCACTTCAGTTCATGTGTAAGCAGAGAGGATCATCTGGAATGTGACTCAGATTAGGCAAGAGTGTTATAAATCAGTAGGACTTTTCTGTAAGGACTGTAAAATATTATGCTATCTGAAAACTAAAATGGGAATACTATGACTAGTGCCCTTTAAATGACCGTCTAATTTGTGTAACAGTGGAATAACTTCCTGTCTCTGTTTGTAATGTCAAATTAGTACAGAAAATAAAGAATTAGTCCTATAGTAATGGAGGAAAAACTAAGCACTAGAGGGAGAAAGGCCTTTGCTTCTTGTTAGTGCCACACAAAAATCTGAAGATGTATTTTTTTTAGCCATCTGAGTAAGACCAATCTCACTTTTTTTATGTAGGTGGCTCCTAGGAAGGGGAAAACCAGGATACGTAAGCTATATTATATACATAAGCCTCAGAAGGGTGTTACAGACAATCCACGTCCCCTGGTCAGAGCACTCTGTAGAGCTTGCCAGTAGGGAATAGTGAGTGTGGGAATGCATCTGAAATCTTGTTTTGGCTGTATAGCTCAGGTGTTGCAGCTCTTGTGATATGCGTGGTAGTATAGCTCAGGTGTTGCTGCCTTTCTACTTGCGTGGGTTCCAGCCTCACAGTACAGTGCTGCCAGTTTTCTCTTGTAAAGCTAAACCGAGCTCACTGCTTTCCCTTTAACGTTTGACTGGAGGGAAGATCACAGAATCGCAGAATGGTTGAGGCTGGAAGGGACCTCTGGAGATCATCTAGTCCAACCTCCCTGCTCAAGCACGGTCATCTAGAGCATGTTGCACAGGATTGTGTCCAGGCAGGTTTTGAATATCTCCAGAGAAGGAGACTGTAGACAAGATGCAGTAGTGGTGAGGCTCTTGTCTCATCCCTCTCATAAAATAAGATACTAATGAAGATAGCTGGCTTGGTTGAAAAGATAGTCTTGGATTTTTGTCCCTTACCTTCGTAAGTGTTTATAATTTTTTTGTCTAAAGTCATTAGATGAAGAACGGAACGCAGGTAGTGGAGCAAAGACTACTCTAAGGCTTCTCCCTTCAACAACAGTGCGCTCTCTCTCCCCAGAGCTCCTCAGACTTGCTTATTCTTTAGTATCCGATGACTTGAACTCAGCAAGCAAGGATGCTTCTGCCTTTTTTAGGAACGGAAGCTAGGTTCTTCTGTAGGGTTTGGTGGTGTGAAGTGTCATCTCCCACTGACTTCTGAACAGCCTAAATGCTCGTTTTTTTTATGCATGCATAGATAGTTTCTCACATGGTTTAAACTGGAAGCAGCTGTGACTGCATGTCATGTGAGGGCCTTGAAGCAATAGGCTTGTGTTATACCTGCTCTGGGCAGGCCGTTAGAAGAGGCCCCCCAGGAGGGTTAATGCTGTTCTCCATTTCCAGTGTCTCAGCTGAGCAGCTTGCTCTATCTGGGGCAAGTTTTAGGTGCCTGCTTAAGGAATGCCTGGGTATGTGCCATGAAAGCAGCTCTGAATTTTGAATTTGTCATATACTCACCTTTTAAAACCTCTTGTATGTATTTTCCTAAGTAATAATGTCGAAGTTCATCGTTGTCTAAGGACTGGTCATCTATTCCATTTGCTGTGATGTAAACATCGATGTCGCCGTAGGTTTTTTTAATCCATTTCAGAACTTTGCGTATTCCCCAAGGCACCACTGCCAAACGGGAAGGGGAGCTCAGGCAGGTGATGTCTTGCAGAAACTGAACATCACGATCAAATTCATACTGGCTCCCATTTTGAGGTTCATGAATCACAAATCTTGTGGTGAAATGATTCAGTGCATAGAAGTCAGCCGCACCCTTAACAAGCTGCTTTTCCGCCTGTGTGAAATATGGCAATGAAGAGTGAGAGAGGCCTTTTCTGTTTTTAGAGAGAATGTATTCCCTCATAGTAGCTGGATAGTCCCCCGTCTTAAATATTGGATCGGCAAACCAGCCTATCTCAAACTGAAGAAATCTGGTGGCAGCTTTTGAGTGAGACTCGAAGTAGGGATTGGCAGGCTCAGCCCAATCCGAATGCAGCGACAGGGACACTTTACCGCACTGAGAGGATCTGTATCGCTCATCGTATATTTTCCAGGCCATGGCATGTGCTATTAATAAATTGTGTGCTGCCCGGTACGTATCATTGCTGCTCCTGTTATAGACGTCACTTAGTCGGTTAGGCTCATTTATTGTAATCCAAAGTTTAACCAAGTCGCCAAGTTCTTGAAAACATAAAGCTGCATAGTCTTGAAAAGCACGGGCAGTGGATTGATTTAGCCATCCTCCTGTCTGCAGCAAAGGACCCGGCAGGCCCAGGTAGGCATGAGTTGGATAGTATAAGGTGACCATAGTTTGAATATTGAGTTTTAGTACTTCGCTAATCACACATCTATAATATCTGAGAACTTGTCTGTTGATCACTGACAAATCTCCATTGGGTAAAATTAGAGACCAGTCAAGTGCAAATCTGTAATGGGTGACTTTCATTTTTTCCAGGAGGTCAAGCTGCTTTTTAATGCTGACAAAATCTGTACACTGCGCTGGTCGGGTTTTTAGCTTCACTCCTTTGACTTCGTGCAAGAGCCCATCTCCTGTGACGTTCCAGAGATACAGGTTTGAATCGCAGAACTGTGGTGAGGAAGCCACAGACTCTGCCTGTGAAAATAAAAAGTAAAAAAAAAAAAAAAAAAAAAAAAAAGGTATTGAAATGGGTTTTAATTAAGTGAATATCTTACTTGTTTACATTTCTACATGTGTTGTGCTGGATGACAGGAGGTCCTGCTCAGATGCTCTAAGATAAAGAGGAAAACAGTTGCCTGTATGTGCTCTGTTACAATGATGATCGTATGTTACCTGTGATGTTCCTTCATGTATGCAAGACAAAATAAAATTGCTCTCCCATTCTCTTCAGCTACATAATGGCATTTAAGATGTTCTCTTGTTAACTTCAGCATGTCCTGCCTTCTTTCCTCTGCCACTGCCCTACACGGTATGCATCGTGGCACAGATAAATCTCCTTGATCCAGTGCTCTCTGTGGTCATGTAAACAGCAGTTCTCACACAGCTGATAGGACAGCAGGGTGGTAAAAACAAGCAACACGGGTAGAAGCAGCAGAGACTGATTTTTGGCACTGCTGCTGAAATAAATCTTGTGAAACTATCGCATGATGTTTCCATTCTTACAGGTGGTCCTGCCTATGCAAACATCCAACTCGGTTGTAGTGTTTAGTCCTAGATAACTAGGAGACGATGGTGGGGATATAACAAGATTCTGTGTCATATAGGTCATTATTGTTTAAACTTTTGTTTAAACATTTGTTTATTATAAGATTTGTAATAACATATGGTCAAAATTAAAGATTTAGATCAAATCTGATTGTTTTAAGAATGTTCTTCTGTCCATGTATTTACTCAATGATTAACAACAATATACAGAAGTTTTACTTTTTTGTTTTCCTTTGGTTGGTAGTGAATAGATTAAGTTGGGGTTTTGCTGTGTTTTTGAGGCTGATGTTCACTGGACTGTCTCTGTGTGATGGCAAGAGTGTCTCAACATTGGCCACGCATATATGGCTATCTTATCTACTCACTGTAAAGCAGAAGTAGATGCTGTAGGAAACAGTTTGGAAAAAAAGGCAGCATGATTTGTTTTTGAAATGGGAGCTCAGGTGATAAGGCCATGTATGCAGATGTGGATTATTGTCACCTGAGGTATAAGTGTTTTTTTCTTTTTAAAGAATGGCTTGTTATCTGCTTGTGGACATGATGCTTAGCTCCCTGGGTTGAGCCTGGCTGTGTTTCTGTCCTGTTCAGTTGCCTTAGACGAGACCTTAAGAGCGTGGACAGCGCTGCTGGCAGTAGACCCGTTGGCACTAGTTTAAGCGCCTGGTCCCTGCCCTGTGCCACCCTCTCCGCTGTGCTGTCGTAGGAGTCTGCAGGGCCTTGCCGGGACCTGCATTGGGAAACTCTGCTGGTTGAAAAATAACCCGGCAGAACCCAGTCAGGGTCAGTTTCTTGCTCTGAAATTTCCTGATTCGAACCAGGTCAGATTTCCTAAGCTATTTGCCATGTGGGCATGCAAGCGGAGAGCGGGAGAGGGAGGCACAGCGCTGGCAACCCCCGGCTGTGGAAGGGCTTCTGCAACCGGGCTCATGGCTGGGGCAATGCACCACGAGTGAGGCCTGCCACTGCAACCAACGTAGCTTACAACAACTGTAAAGCAGTTAAAATTAAACCCATAAAATTATGACTAAGCTTAATTCGCATTTACAGCGTGCTTTGCAAATTGCACCTGTCATCCAGAAATCTCAGTCTTTTATTGACAAAGTAAAATTGTTAATTTCTCTGCTACTTAATAGTTTTATCAGGATTTAACACTTACCTTAAGAACAGATTCAGTGATACCCCAGGAGAAGTCGCAGGAAAACTGAGCTTGTAAACTTGGGGTAGACTCTTTTGGGAAGAAGCCATTTTCTCGTATGATTTGCTTATAGTAAAGTGCAGATGATTTGGGAATCCTTTCCTTTTTTTCACTTTTGAAATCTACATAAAATAGTCCACGCCTGATGTTGTAGGCATGTTGCCATTCAAAGCCATCAAGGAGCGACCAGGCTGTGTAACCAAACACATCTATGTTGTCGTATTTAATAGCTGTGTGAGAGAAATAAATGTGAGTTTTATATTTGGGACTAACATATAAAGGATGACTTATGAGAGGTCCATTCATTTTGAAGATCTTGGGGGTTTTCTCAATGCTCATGATGGTATTGACCCATTGTAATTCACTGTGAAGCTCTGACAGACATTATGCATCTTAGTCCTTATTCGTTAACAACACACAAATCATCACTGGTTCCTTAAAAAAAATAAATTACTTTAGGCTACATTATTTCTGCTCTAAGCAAGCATGAAATATTGTGCTGCATCCAGATGTTAAGCTGTATTTGATGATTTGCAAATAACAAATCTGCTCCAGTAAAATTAGAGAATCATGATTAAAAATCAGGCCTGCAACAGTTGATGTGGTTTTTGCTTCATTTGTATTTTTCATCAGGCTATGACTTTTTTATTACCCTGCTTCATCTTCAATCTCTAACATTTATAAATTTTTATTTAGCTTCTACTTTGAAAAATTAAACATCTGTACAGGTACTTAATGACTATAGAAAAAGCTGGGTTGGTCAACGCAGAGTCAGAAGTGCTGTGTTTATTCCCAGGATGTGTATATTGCATATGTGTTTCTGCAGGTGCTTCTAATTCTCCCTCCACCTTGTAAAAGTTTGTATAGCAAGGTATATTTTAATGTCTTTGAGATCTTGGTGCTCTGTTGAGAAAGATGTCAAAATTACTGGTTGATGCTAAGTATGGGGATGCTTTCTCTGATGTGGAACCTGATTTCCTGGGAAGGGCAATGCGATTTCCAAAGTGGCTTCTCACTGGACACCAAGTAGCAAAAGCTGTTTGTTACCCGCTGAGGCTGCATGCCAGCTGACAACCTGGAAGAAAAGGTCCAAATTCCATTATCAGTCAGCTTAGCTGCCTGTTGGCATGTTCTTGCTGGGGAGCAATGCAGGGTGACTCCTCCCCTTACCCTTACAAGGGCTGGAATATCAAGGACAAAGCAATGACCAAGCAGGGTTATTGCGGATTTTGACACAGGCACCTGGAGAGCCACATTTCACCTGAAGGCCACTGAGAGTAAGCCAAGCAATAAGGATGAAGTATTCCAATTTAAAACTCTGTTCTCATCAATGTTACTTTGTCCTGTTTTCTTAGGATGATACTGCAATTCGTGTTTCATAATTCCACTGAAGTTCTCTGCCTTAGTCGCACCATATTGCAACTTCAGCAGGAGCTGGCATTGCATGGTGCTGGTATTCATTCAGCAGAGGAGCAAGGTGCCCACTAAGATTATTGTGGTCCAGGATTCCACTTTACCAGCTGCTGGATAAAGAGATCAGAAAGCCTGGGAATTTTTAATCTGAGTATTTAAAACAAAAAACAAAAACAAAAAAGATAATGCCAGAATACTGGCAAGGAGCTGTGGGAGCACAATGAAACAATGAGATGGCATTGTTAAAGGTAACAGGTGGCTGCATCAGTGCTGCAGAGACCTAACTTTTAACTTCCATAAAGCGTCGTGGAGGGAGATTTGCAAGGATAATGTTGAAGCAGTTTTACATGCATTTTCAAGAAAAGTAACTCCCAAATATGAGGGAAAGCATGGGAGAAAGCACAAAAACATTTGAAAATATCAAGTGCAAAACCTGGAGGCAGTGAATGACATAGCATTTTATGGCCCATCTCTTTCCTCTGTCAGAGAGAGAGATCAAGCTTTTTGTTTGGACCAAAGGAGGCAGCTGTTGAGTACATCTATAAATTACTCTCAAAGTGACTGAATTCTTTTCTGTTGATTATGCAGAGAATAAACGGTAGAGGGGGAAGACAGTGGAAGTCAAAAATCCTCATTGAAAGATAGGTGGATAAATCCTCCCAAAAGACATGCCAAATAAACAGCTAGAAAGCAGGTGGAGAAAAGGGAACCTCCAAAGCCAAGGGAGGATAAGAGGAGCAGTGCGGTCCCTGTGTTGGAAAAATTGTTATGTCCTTTGGGATGAGGACAAAGCACTGAAACGTGGCTATCTAGGAGCTTAGGATTTTTGCACAGAGGATGAGGTGGCAAGTGAGCCAGCACTGGGACTTGGAAAGGCAGGCGTTCACCTGGGAACGGCAATAGAAGGAAAGAATCAGCTTGTGTAGCAAGTGATATGCCATATGTTTTTACTCTCACTTAGTTAAAGGCACTGAGCTGTGAACGATTCTCTTCTCCCAGCCTATACTGTAACTTCCTAGTGTTAATTTGTTTCTGTCATTTCCTTACTGTTCCTTTATCTTCACTGAATAGTCGATCACTAACAGATGTTGGAAATGTTTGGTGTGTTAAGGTGGCTTGGAGATAGACTGCAGAGGAAAGCAAATCAACCTGTTGCATATCATAGCAGCATCTGTCTGTGTGCCTATACAAAGAGGAATGAAACCTGCAATGTTTCTTTGCTGCCCCTCCACCAGTGGAGAAATGTTTTAAGCTAGTAGGTTACTGGCTTGTTTTCTCTGGCCAGCATCAGCTTCCTCAGGCCTGGCCCCAAGCGGGCCGGGTCTCTTGCTCACCCCTCAGCACTGCTCCCGCTCCTTCACGCGGGCACGGCTGCTTGAGGCGGTGTGTGCTCCGCTGAGCAGGTAAAAACCAACAATGAAAGAAAAAGAGAAGGGAGGACATCCTTAACCGAGGTGAACGTCTTCATCTGTTTCACGATGCAGCCCACCTAAGAGCGATACTGGTGCAAAGCACTGGGCAGGCATGAGAGGCTAAAGGTAGACGAGGTCAGCCGTTAATTAAGTTTACGTTTTCGCCAGGCTAATATTCAGAGAAGCAGAGGCATTTATGTATCTTTTCTGTAGGGGGAGTTTTGGAGTCCTGCTGCAAACAGTTTCAGTATTGACAGGCTTACGTGTGTCAACGAAAAGCTGTAGTTTCCATTGCATCCTTGTGTGGCAATAGGGGTCAGCTCACTTGCAGAGGTGACTTTATACATCACATATTTTAGTGACCCCACCGTACCCTAGGTTATAGACATGCAGTCCAAAGTTTACAGCACGCCTGAAACGCAAACACACACAGTATAGCTCACCTAGATACATGCTGTCTTAACAGTTGCTATCCCCTTGCAATTTGGCCTATATAAATATGTTTTGAGGTTAAAAAGATTTAAATGATTTTGCTGTGAACAGCAAATTTACATTATATATGAAGTCTACGTAAGTAAAAAAAAAAAAAAAAAAAGGAAAATGTGTTCCAAATATTACTCCTAATTAGATGAATTATAAGTTGACTTCACAAAAAAGTGCATTAGTTAAGAGGTAATCCTGTATTTTGAGGCAGAGGTTGAAGAATCTGTATGCATAAAAATGTAGCTTAAAATTATTATGAAGTAGCTATTGTCTGAACATTGACCACATATTTCAGAAGTATGAATGCACAGATGGTTATTACAGTCAGGTCTACTCTAGGGGGCTGGAAAAAAAAAAAAGAACATGCTATGGCTTTTCTTACATAAGTGTCCAGAAATCTACCTCAGACTAGTGGCTACAAGCTGTCGTTTGAAAAATGCACATATCTTCAAATCCAGGTTTGCATCTAAACTTTGCTGCTGTGTCAATGCAGCATGTAAAGTACCAGAAACTGGATTGTAACCTGCTGAAAAACTGGAAAAGTTGGGGCATAGGGTAGAGTTGGGCTATGTGAAGTTTTCAATTTGGACCAACTCTGATTTAAACATAGCTGAAAAATCTTCATTAGGAACTTAATTATGTTTGTTGGATATACAGTTTTCCTTGGCTTCAGACATTTACTCATGTTCAGGGACCTGGTGTCACAGTAAATGATTTCTCTTACGCTCCCTTTTCTGAAGATAAGAACAATTTTTCAAAAGGATCTGTGCTATCCCATCATTATAATATGGCAGATTGCATGCTAAAAAAGTAGCCAGGACCAGGTGTTCAGAAAGAAGAAGGCCATGTGCAAACAGCCTTCTCTGAGGGTGCCTCTGAGAACCAGCAGGTGTCACTCGGCGAGTGCTGAAAAGAGAAAACCGGCTTAGCGGAAAAAGAAATGCCGAGTTTATAGAGGGACCTAGGCATTAGCATTGTTTACATTTCTTATAAAATTAAATCTTTTACCTTCAGACAGTGTTTATCTACTCTGGCATTATGAAGGGAAAATAGCAAGATTTGAAACTGTGTATTTAAAACCCTATCTCTGTTTGGTATGCAATAAACCTGCCGATTGCTTGCCCTTCTCCAGCTGATTTACTCTGAGCGCTTGCGGTTGGAGTAGGAAGCTAGCAGGGCAATGACAGCCTGCAGTCTTGGCCTTGTCTTCCTGTTTTTGAGGTACCTACCTGGACAGGCACCTTGCAGTTGGGTTGCCAGTTGTGAAAAGCGGTATGCAATATATTTGTTTGCCTTCATTTCTGACTCAGTTTCGTATTTTTAGTTTTCAAATCAAACCCAGATGTTGGACTTTGGCTTCCTGGGACGGGGGCTGTGTTTTTGTTCTGTGTTTGTACAACACCTAGCACCAGTGTATCTTGATCCATGACTTGTACTTGTGGAGTAGAAATAATTAATAATTAACTTAGTTACCAATATCTCTTTTAAAAAAGATCGAACCGTTAAAGAGCTAAATATCAAACGATTAAAAACAAAGCTCCAAAAATCTCAAAACTAATTTGTGTACAAACCTTGTAAAACCTTATTAATGAAGTTTTTCATCATGTAGATGGCAGTGGTGTCATCTGTTTTCACATGGCTGTCAGTGAACCAGCCATTCTCTGCGATCAAGATTCGAGGACTGCTATATTCCAGTTTAATCCAGTTCAGTACTTCCCTCAAATTGAGTGACAAATTTTGTCCCATTTTTGGCAGAGTGTTTGGAGGTTTAAAGTTATTAGGACCAAAGGAAAATGCAAAGAAGTCTGCTGTTCCCTTTATATAGTTTTTTTCATCCTCAGTAAAGCTTGGCAAAAAAGATAAATCATTTTTCAGTTCTTCTGGGTAGTCACCATCCCCATAGATGGGTTTAGCAAACCATCCAAGTACTCTCTCCATAGACTGCTGGCATTTAGAAATGTCCAAAGCATCTTCCGATTTGTTAGGTTCGATCCAGTGGGATCCCAATACTATGGACATCAACCCCTTCTGATGTGGTCGAAAGCGTGTTTTGTAGTTATGCCAAACTTTTGCATGAGCCTGGTGAGAAAAAAATAACATTAAACTGTAATTCTCTAGTCAAGCTGTGTGTGTGTATGCAGCTAGACAGGCAGGTAGCTCCATCGGATTCCCTGCAGGGTTCTATGGCAACACGAATGAACAGTTAAGGCATTGGACGTTAATTACGCTGTACGGTCATAACAGCCAATAACTGTTACGCTGCAAAGTCCTGACTGGTGGTAATGCTCTGGACCTCGTGTGCATTCTTCCATTGTGGCTTTCGGCCTTTTAATATAAAGTTTGCGTCCCAGGAGATACGTGGGATAGCTGTTGCATAGGTACCTTTGGATCAAAAAGCTATCGATCTTGGGATTTGGACTTGGTGACCTAGACAGTTCAGTCTAGTTCTTCGTAAAGTAGTGATTGCTGAAACAGTTAAAATTTCAAACCGTTACAGCAATTGTTACATTAATTATGCATCTCCAATTATGTTTCCGCTGTCAGTGTTGGCTCTGTGCTATTGACTCGTTTGTGTCATGAGGATTACCTGGATTTGCCTTGATCAAACCATGTCCACCCCATACTTTCTTTGAGACACACTTTTACTTGTTTTAATTTGGGCTAATCGTGAGAGTAAGTGTTCAACGCTAAGCACAAGATTTGCACAGTACCTAAACACGAACAACTGGAGAAAGGACCCAGCTGCAAAGTTTGAACCCAAATGTCAAGGTTTATAGTTGTGTGTGAGATTTTTCATATAGGATTTTTGTTCATTTATTCTTGGAAGTTGCTATAATTATAACTCTTCGGACAGTACATGAAACAGAACAGAATGAGGCTTATTCATTTTGAGAGCAACAACACATTGGTTTTAACAGAAAATTTGGCAACGTTATCTCATAAGGTCTATTGGTTATGCCATAATTTAGTACTCATAATAGGCCAAATATTGGCTTCCCTAGGACAGAGAGAAGTTTTGCTAATTATGTTAGTGACAATGAAAGAATGCTTTGCACCATATCTTAATTCAATTTTTCCGATTATTGTCATGCTTAACATTCTGTCACACACCAGAATTACTGTAAAATGTCATATCATTAATTACTTAAATAAGAGAATACAGTGGTCACACTTTACACGTGGCCTATGTACTAAAAGGAATACATGGGAGATGTAGGTACCACTCACTCCGTTTGCATGCTATGGGAGAAGGACGATTCTGGGTAAATGTGAATCACTCCAGTGGAGCTGGCACAGAGGAAGGAGCTGACCTCTCCCCAGCTAAAGTGGAGTTGTCGAGTAACTCAGGGTTTACTTTGCTCCTGAAGTGTGGCTCTATAGTCTAAGCTGGAAAGAAAATAACTGTTTGCCCCCAGAAAAAAACATTGAGAGACATTGTGAAATGCTTATAGTGCTGAGTTACACTGACATCTTTACTAAAGCAAATAGCATTGCTTACATTTGACAATAATTTCAGTTAATTTATCTAGCCTTTACAGTTTGAAGAGAATGGCCTGATGTCAGGCAGACATTTGGTTAAGTTAGGGAGTACTGAAGAATTACAGTTTTGAGAAATTTTGTATATTAGCTGTTTATGGTTTCGAAGGTCACGCTCATAACATTTATTCAAGGTCTGTCCTTGAAAATACTGATAAAGCAAAATTAACCTTTGAGATGCAGGTTCTGTAGCTAAAAAGAGAAGTCAGCAAAATTGTATTCATGGGGCAAATTGCAAGGACAGTTATAGTATTTTAAGAGCAGTCTCTCGGTAGTCTCACCAGAAAACGTATATGGCCAAAGTGTCAGTTACCCTCACTGTCCCCTCCGAAAGGTCCTTCCAGCCCAGGGTGGCTGCTGTGGCCAAGACTTGCTTTGGTGTTAGCATTCACAGGTCTCTGCTTCTCGTGATTTCTCATCAGGCTAGGATATTATTTTTCCTAGGCACAGCCTGCTAACACAACTGTTTAATGAAACGTGTATGTTTGCACCGGCTTAACCAGAAAAACTCGGCAGAAGTCAGCTGTATAATTCACAGTGCCAGGCAGCATTAAAATAGCATCAGGTAAATCCTAGAAATTAAACATGTCTAGATGAAGACCTGGAGAAAGACGACTTTGTTAAAGATAGCTAATTAGAATGCATTGGTGGCAGGTAAAAGATTATCAGGGAGAAATGGTATATTTATGTGGTTTTTTTGGGGAGTTTGATTAGAAGCAACTAAAACTACCATTAAAAATATTGTCTAAAGTTGAGAATACAGCCACAGGTATAAAGCTATAGGAATAAACCTCTGGTAAGAATAGATACATTTGATAGGAGTCAAGACAGGATTTTCATGAGAGTCACTGATCTCTCTTAACGCTGAGGGTTAACTGTAGTCAAAGTGCGACTGAGCTGTCTTTGTTAAGGGCTTTTACAGATAATAGTAGAAACAATAAGCACTTACTTACCTATAATGCTGTTTTGAATTGTTAGTTATTTGTAAAGCAGCTTAATGTCCTGAGATGGAAGGTGTTTTCTAAATATAAACTATTCTTATTGATGGAACCAACTGATTAATAGCTTTTGTTTTGTGAGACCAAGTATGAAATAAACATCAGTTTCAAAGTTATATCACACATTATATTAGCTATTTTGAGTAAATCTTGACTAATCTTTCTTCAGTTAGAGTTTAATCCCTAATCTTTCATTTTCCCTTTTAGATCAAGGACAAATGTCAAGGCTAAGTACACAATGAAAGCACGATCAATATTGTGTATTTATTCTAGATACACACGACATAAATTTCAGCATATTTTCCTGATATTAATACAGCAATTATTCCATAGACTTGAGTCACAGAGAATGTTAAATCAGTTAGTACTAACCTCTTAAAAAGGCTAGGTAAAATCAGTCAGTTTAATAGAATTAAGACAACAGTACTATTCTCCTCTTTTCTCTTCTTGCAAATATTTCTCATGCTCCTTTAAACCTCGATCCTGTAGTTATGCTGTACATAGGCAAAGAGCTTGCAGTTGAAAGACTGGTACTTTCAAACTCATGAGATTTATTAAAGTCAAGCAATTTCCCTTGAATGCCACAGGAATGAGCAGACAGAACAATGCCATGAATATACGGAGTTATTTCAGTGCACTGGAGAGGAAGAACACTTAAGAACAATTAGAACTAAAAAGCACTAATAAAATCATTTGGACTTTGTGTTTGGGCTGTTTGTTCGCTTTTTAAACCACGAACAGCTAGAACACAGAGTCTGATGATTACGATGTTAAACATCACTTTAGAGGAAGGGCAGATGTGCATGGCTTATTTGGAGAGTCATTTCAGTTCAAGGCACTTGTGGTCTTTGGTAAAGATGCCATGTAGTCAGCAAAGCTAAAGCCCTTAATTTGCAAACTGAATCTGAAGCTGAATCCCGGTGAAGCAAAAATGCTCTTGATATACAGGCAACTAAGTTTCTAAAAAGGCTTGTTTGAAAGGCTGAAGTTTTACTATCAAATGAGTGGTATGTGCTAGTTGCCTTGTATTTGGATTGAATTTTTCTTGATTTCCAAGAATTATAAGAAAGCCAACCTGACAACAACAAATCACACGAAAAAGCGTGAATCAGTTCTGACCTAAAACTTACAAAAGCACCATCATCACTGATGACTGCTACTGTTTGAAAACTGAACTTGATATAATACTGCTTCTGAACTCATTCATCTCTGGAAAGAGACAGGAGTCCACCTAAAACAGCATATAGCTGTCAGAGCCCAAAGAGGTAACAAGCTAACTGATGAGAATGAAGGTCTTAGTTTGTAAAACTCTTTTTTCTGGCACTCGTTTATTTAAACCAGTCATTTGACTTCATTGTGCTTATTTCTCCAATTATAAGCTGTAGATAATAATACTTAATAGCATCAAGTTTATTAACGGTAATGCTATTTGGCGCCACTGGACCGGGCTTTGAGAACCCTGTGGGAACTGGACCCCGACTCAAAAATCAGCGGTCCTAATAAACGACAGCAGTGTTATCTGTAGTTTATTTGCAGTTATATTCTTTGATGTTGATTTCCAGCGGATGGTGATAGGTAGAATTTTTGTAAAATGCTTTGAAATCTTCAGGGACACTGGGCTGTCTAAGGCAAATCAGCAGTAATAGTCATGGTTAGGTAAAAGCACCTGTTCTGAAGCAATTATGCAAGGAAGGACAGAAGCAGCTACAAGGGTCAAGTGACAAAGCACCAGGTAACTGAGCTCAGCTCCTGAGCCTCCCTTCTCTACTGAAACAAGCTAGTCAACTGGCTTCAGTTAGGGCAGGTCCCCAGAAAGTAGCTAGTAATCCTTACTAACTGTAAGGATTACCAACTGTAATCCTTCCCTGGTTAAATCTCCAAATAGGGATTTGGAAAATGTTTTGTTGGTATTTCAGGAGAAAAAAACCCAACTTGTTATGGATTTCTTTTGAAGCACAGTACAGTTCTAGTTGGGGCATTTTTGATTTTCAACGATTTGTATAAATTTAGCATAAGAAACAAGACTCTCTGACCCTCGTAAGGCAAACTTAGAGCTGCACTGACAAATATGGGTAGATTTCATTCCCACTGGGAAGAAGTCCAGATTCGGAGATTAATCCTACGAGTTTTTATTGTGTTACATTCAGCCATTTAATTTATCCCATATTTGGCACCTTGCTAAAAGTTGTCTGCTTTTTTACAGAGACCGAGAACCCAGACGGGCCCCATTGTATACAACTGCTTAGAATGTGTGTCTCCAGTCTCTGCCACTGAAACTTTCTCACCCTGCACCTTTTAAATTTTAAATATGTGGCTGTGAATGAATTTTGCGTATTCAGTCGTTTGCAAAAAAGCCATTGTTTCCATGCTCTTCCTCCCTGATCTACTAAACATTTTTTCTCTTTCTACTATTGTTGTATGTCCACTGCACAAATACAATCTCCTGTGGTAAATCTAAGTATTTTTGAAATAATGTGTTCAATTAGAATTTAATGATAAACAGATGTCAGAAAAGGAGTATGTTGGAAAAGGAATAGCTTATTG